CGGATTCTTGGGGATAAAAAATTTGTCGGTTCAACAAAATCTATATGGAAAGAACTAGTTTGAGATGTTAACTTCCAAAAACTAAAAGGCGGTCAACAATTTAAATGATTTGATTCCTTTAAAAATATGGGTTGCTCCCTAATTAGCTTGAAGTCAAATTAAATCAAATTCTACATAAAGTATGAAATCACAATTTATCAAAATTATAATATAACGGTATAAACTAGCATTACATGGAACTTAATATTAATTAGACTACAAACATGCATCAAATAAGGAAGAGCATTTTTATGGGATTTTTTAAAATTTTTTGATAAAAAGTAAAATTTTATTTAGATCTGGTTTTTTATTAACAAAGTTTGAACTGTCAAATTTGTTTGAGAAATATGGAGTCCTTTTTTAATTAATTCAAACTAACTAATATTGGTGATATATTTATGCTTTTTATTCAATATTATTAAAAAGTGTAAAAATATTAAAAAAGAAATAAAATAACTAATTTACATAGATTTAAAAGAAATTAAATAAATATGTCATTCATAAAAAAAGCGTGTTGACTTTACTAGCATATACCCTTTTTAATTATTTATATTGTAAAATATCCTTATTAAGGAAAACCACTTTTGATATTTGCAATTGGTAGGAAGATTAAGGAAAAAATTTCAAAGACAAAGTAAATTAAAGTTTAGAAAATACTTATGTCATTTTTTTCCTTGTAGGTTTATAATAAAATGTTATTAAATGTTAATATTTTTAAAAATAAAACAGTAATGTGTGATTGGAGAACTTGATATAATAGCTATGAAAAACTTGATATAAGTATAGTCCTAAAGTTTTATATCTATAAGCCAAAATATAATTTCTTAAACTAACTCCCATTTTTTTTATCAAATATCTTGGTTTTTTATTCGTCCTTCTCCTCTCTCTCGTGTGGGAGCTTCTCTCTCTCCGTTACCTATGAGTGTTTGGGCCTTTATGCGCTTTGCTCTCTAGCACCTCTCTCTCTCTCCTCTCCCCGCTTAAGCTGGAGGGGAGGTTGTTTGGCTTGGGGATTTTCGTTTTGGAGGGATTAGGATTTTCGATTTTCCTTTTATGATGATTGTCAAATGATCCGTGTAGTAGTAAGAGAAGAAAGATAAGATATGAGGCAACTATCAGTAGTGTGGATGAAGAAAGAGAATGCACATATTGCTTATTTAATAATCAAGTAAGGATGCTCAAGATTGATGGTGATGGTGCGATGAACGAAAAGCGAGAAAATCGATGATTCTAAAGGTTTTTTATCTCTTGATGTCAAGCATGATTTGGTAAGCTTCTTAGATCCATTAACTCTGATCTGGTCGGATTGGCAAGGATTCTTAGTTTTTCTGCTGTGATCTTGTGGCTTTGGGTTGGGAAAGATTGGAAACGATGGTTGGGAGTCTCTATGTTGTTCAATATTGATGGTCAATTTGTCTTATTATGGGGTGCAGCAGCAATGGCGTGGGTGTTGGTGTTTCTGCTCTTTGTAGCAGATGATTTATCAAGAGAGATGAGAGCAATAGGGTGGTCTTTGGAACCCAATCCCTTCCGTGGCAAATTAGGAGGTCCAGCAAGTTTTGACAACAATTAAATGGGAAATGACCATAATTTTTTGACAAAATACTTGATTTGTAATTTTGCAATTTTCACAATTTTTACAATTTTTTCTAAATAATATTTATTATAAGTGAATAATTTTCCAATCCACTTCCCCGTTGGAGATTGCGAGTCAAAATAAGTTGATAATTCTTTTGCCAACCAAATAAGTTAGATAAGATGATTTATCAAGAGAGATGAGAGCAATAGGGTGGTCTTTGGAAGCCCAATCCCTTCCGTGGCAAATTAGGAGGTCCAGCAAGTTTTGACAACAATTAAATGGGAAATGACCATAATTTTTTGACAAAATACTTGATTTGTAATTTTGCAATTTTCACAATTTTTACAATTTTTTCTAAATAATATTTATTATAAGTGAATAATTTTCCAATCCACTTCCCCGTTGGAGATTGCGAGTCAAAATAAGTTAGATAATTCTTTTGCCAACCAAAATAAGTTAGATAATTATATTAGATTGCTAGTTTGGAACATCTTGCTAAATTTTAATTTTTTTGGCCTTCTTCCTTAATATATTGATAGTTATAATATATTATTATTCGATTGAAAATAATTATATGCCGGTAACTAGAAATGCTTCAGATGTCTTAGAGGAAAATATTAAAGTTCTTTCAATAAAATAGATAATTGGGAAAATGACAGAAAAATAACAAATGAACTCTATAATACTAAAAACATTTCCTGAATTTGAGAAATCCTAATTTAGTCACAAGTGACTGATTTGGCATTTATAAATTTACTGAAATGACCATATTGCCTTCATTTTATTTATTGTTTTAAAAAAACCCAGGCCCATACTAGCTGACCGGTTGCCAAAGCTTCGGCGGCAGTCACCAGAGCTGGCGACCGGTTGACAATTGGTTGCGAAGCTCCAACGGTCGAAAACAATTTTTTTAAAAAATTTTACAATTTCAGTATAACGGTTAATAACTTTTGTAACGATATTAACAATTTCAGTATAGCAATTAACAATAAGTTTTTTGAGAAATTCAACAATTGGTTGCCGAAGCTCCGACAGTCAAAAACAATTTTTTCAAAATTTTTTACAACTTTAGTATAACGGTTAACAACTTTTGTAATGCTATTAACAACTTTAGTATAGCAGTTAACAACAGGTTTTTCCGAAAATTCAACAATTGGTTACTGGAGCTCTGGTGGCCAGAAACAATTTTTTTTGAAAATTTTTACAACTTCAATATAATGGTTAACTTTTGTAATGCTATTAATAACTTCAATATAACAGTTAATAATAGGTTTTTGAGTTTGTTAATGGCATTACTGAAATTGTAAAAATGTTATGTTTTGAATTTCTCAAAAAATCTGTTGTTAACTGCTATACTAAAATTGTTAATAGCGTCATAAAAGTTGTTAACCGTTATACTGAAGTTGTAAATTTTTTTAATAAAAAAAGTAGTTGTTAAAGTTATAAAAATGCCTTTTTTTTTTTGGAATTTTTAAGAGAACCTGTTGTTAAATGCTATATCGAAATTGTTAGTAAAGTTAGAAAACTTGTTAACGGCATTATTGAAGTTGGAAAAATGCTACTTTTTGAATTTTTTGAAAAACTTGTTGTTAACTGCTATATTGAAGTTGTTAATAACATTACAAAAACTGTTAACCGTTATACTGAAATTGTAAAAATTTTCAAAAAAAAAAGTAGTTGCTAAAGTTGTAAAAATACCATTTTTTTTAATTTTTAAGAAAACATGTTATTAAATGCTATACTGAAATTGTTAATAAAGTTACGGAACTTGTTAATGGCATTATTGAAGTTGTAAAAATATTATTTGTTAAATTTTCTGAAAAACCTGTTGTTAATAGTGTTACAAAAGTTCTTAACCATTATACTGAAAATGTAAAAATTTTCAAAAAAATTATTTCTGACCGCCTGAGCTCGGCGACTATTTGTTGAACTTTCTGAAAAACTTGTTGTTAACTGTTATATTGAAATTATTAATAGCGTTACAAAAGTTATTAACCGTTATACTGAAATTGTAAAATTTTTTCAAAAAATTGTTTCCAACCACTGGAATTTTGGCAACCAATTATCGGCCTATCGTCGAAGCTCTGGTGACTACCGTCACCGCAGTAGTTGAAACTCCAGAAACTGGCAGGCCAATGAGGGCTTTGGTTTTTTAAAAACAATAAATAAAATAAAAGGCAATATAGTTATTTTAGTAAATTTATAAATGCCAAATTAGTCACTTGTGACTAAATTAGGATTTCTCAAATTCAGGAAATATTTTTAGCGTTAAGAAGTTCATTTATCATTTTTTTTATTTTTCCTGTATAATTCATAAAGCATATATACGCCTGGCTTAATTGGGAGTAGGTAGGTAGGAAGGGGAAATTGGATTTCTGAAGTGAAATAAAACTTAATTCTTTAAAAAGATTTTACTTTTCGATAAGTTAAGTCTCACATTTTCCTCAGAATAAAGGAACCCAAATAAAATCTAGTTCCTATCATTTTTTGTTTTTAAATTGAAAATGTAATTTTTTTAAAAGATAACTTAAAAAAAACTACAAAAAATAAGCCACGCAACTTATGTATACTTGTTGGAAAGTCGAATTTTTAAGAAGTGTCATTTCTTAAAGTTAATTATCAAAAGGTTGCCTAATTGAAGCAATAGTAAGGTCTATTGCTCATGTATTTCATTTTAACAGATGCATACTGCACAATAAAAATAATAATCCTAACTCTTATCCTTTTAAAAATAGTGATAAACTCATGACAAAAATTGGGTGTAGTGTGAGAAGGATCAAGTATAACAATTAACAATAAAAATAAAAAGCAATGTGAATTGTTTAGGTCAAATGTGTATCATGTGGAATTATACTTAAAGAAAGTAGCAAAAAGATCCAAGCCTTCGCATACTGATCATATCATATCTTTATCCTTATTTTTCCATAAGTGAGATTAATGCTGTGAAGTTTAAAGAACTAAAAACGTACTTTTTAAATTTAAAAGATTAAACTAACATTTAATGTAAATTTTAGAAGTTAAATATAAATAAAAAGATAGTTTAGCGTATTTTATTCAAAATTATGCGACTTATGCAAGACTATACTGTCTGGTCAAAAAAAAAAACAAAACAAAAAGACTTGTGTAAGACTACTGAAATTCTCCCTTTTTTCAAGAACAAAGCAGAATGGCTTGATTGTAATTTAAGCTAATGATCATGGCACTTGTTTCGGTTGCAACGTAAGCCATTTTTTTTTTTTTTGCCTGAATTAATATTTAATTTTAATTTACAATTCTAAATGAGTCCACATACATTCACTCACGCACGTTCAGACCTTCTGTTCAAAAAGACTGTGATATGAAGTTGTGGTCTATGCAGCTTCTGCTTTATAAGGCCCCTCCAGCATTCACAATCACACACCTTGAAAGTTGAAACCCATCCGCTTCTGCTTTATAAGCCCCCCAACACATACGTCTCTCGCAAAGCTTCGAGCTCTCATCCATGGCGGCAGGACTCTCCACCGCCATGACCTTGAAACCCATCCGCTTCTTCCACACCTCAGACCGCCTCCCCAAGGCCGCTCCGCCTCTTCTCTTCACTTCCTTGAGATGTTTCCCTCGTCGGGCCGCAACCCGTCGAAGCCCACGACTTCCCTCCTTCACCGTCTGCGTCCTCATGGAGGATCCCAAACAGAGCATCCAGATCGAAGCTGGGGAAGAAAAGGACCCTAATAATCGAGTCTGTGAGTCCGTTTTTCTTTCCCAATTCATCACTCGACGGTTAAGAATTTGAAATTAACTTCGTTCTTCGGGAAATCTGGTTCCTAAATTCAACTGTGTATATCTGATTTTCAGGTGGGTATGGAGTTCTGGGCAAGATGGGCCCATAGATCTCTATGGCATGCCTCCTTATGGCATATGCATGAGGTTAGCTTCTTATCCTCTCGATTCTCCAATCCTCTCTTATCTGACCAATTTCAATTTAATTAATTACTCAATAGACTCGAAAATCAAAAAGATAATCACAATCCTCCCCCTCGTCCTCCTTCTAATTTGTATTTCTCCTGTGAAATTCTCACCAACCAAAGACTAGTTCTTAAGTCTCTGAGAAACTTGAACTTGAATTACAGTCCCACCATAGGGCGAGAGAAGGGCCGTTCGAGCTAAACGACGTGTTCGCAATAATAAACGCAGTGCCAGCGATCGGTCTCCTCTCTTACGGATTCTTCCACAAGGGTTTGGTTCCCGGTCTGTGTTTCGGCGCTGTAAGTGTCATACAAATCATGTTCCAAATCTCTGATTAATTATTTTTAATCACGTTAATTTAACGGTATAATTGGGATTTGCTATGTCCCATGAGAAATGTCGAAAGTGCCCCGAAACAGTCAGCGTAATGACATTATTGTTCGTACTGTAGGGTTTGGGAATTACCGTGTTCGGGATGGCCTACATGTTTGTCCACGATGGGCTGGTGCATAGGAGATTCCCTGTGGGGCCCATTGCCAACGTGCCTTACTTCAGAAGGGTGGCCGCTGCTCACCATGTAAGCGATCCTACCCTAGCGGTATCATATGCATTTACAAGAGTATTTTTATTTATTTACTGAAATATAAAAATAAAATTGTGTTGTGATCGTTGGGATCAAGATCTCACAATCTTTGATTTTGTGTCTGTTTCTTCAGCTTCACCATACAGACAAATTCAATTCAATGGGTTCCATATGGGCTATTTTTGGGACCAAGGGTAAGTAAGCTGCCCCATCATTTGTTTTTTTCTTTTTTAGGTCTGAAAATTATGGTAGACTTTAAGTATTTGCATAGAACTTGAAATAACTCGTATTTATAAATGTATGAAATAACTCGTATTTATAAACAATATAGTTTCTTATAATTTTTATATAGATATATTATATTGATGCTTATGAGTAAATTAATCCCACTACGGGAAAAAAAAAATTTATTGCTCCAACTTTAGCATATGAATTATTTATTTTCTAAAAGTCTATAAATTTATCCTCTATTTTTAAAATTTAGAAAGGTGTCCTTATTGACAAAAATAAAGTACTTCAACCTTTTTAAAATTTCATTGAATTATATAACGTTCATTCTATTTTTATAATCTAAACAAATTTATCTTGAAGAAAGTAAGTTACCCATCTGTTTTGATAATTTTCTTTTGAAGTTAAGCAAACTTAATTTTTAATATTGAAATGCATGAATTAATCTTCAAAGATTAAATAGGAAGTACAATAATTTTAGCGCCATATTGTTTATCTATTTGAGAGGTCATATTCCGCTTGTTTTTTCTTTCTGACATAGATAAGCTTTCTGACTTTAGAATTTTTAAACTAAACCTTAAACAAATTTATCTTGAAGAAAGTAAGTTACCCATCTGTTTTGATAATTTTCTTTTGAAGTTAAGCAAACTTAATTTTTAATATTGAAATGCATGAATTAATCTTCAAAGATTAAATAGGAAGTACAATAATTTTAGCGCCATATTGTTTATCTATTTGAGAGGTCATATTCGCTTGTTTTTCTTTCTTTCTGACATAGATAAGCTTTCTGACTTTAGAATTTTTAAACTAAACCTGTCTGAATTTTTACATTTATGCATGTAACTCTCATATTATTAATTTTCTTCATTATTAATCTTTGTATAGCTCAAAGTATGAGAGGTTATATACAGACAAAAATGAAATTTAAAGATTATAAAATTAATAGTCTGAAGTTATCTGCACAGACTTAAAGGTGGTTTTTTCTACATCGTTCTGAGCTAATTTTTTTTTTAATATAATTTCAAAAGTAACGTTAACAAGAAAAGAAAATAAAATAAATTGTGGCTGAACAATGAGTTAACCATAGTTGGTTACGATTGGTGCAGGAAGTAAAAGAAGTGGGAGGGGCAGAAGAGCTGGAGAAAGAAATAACTAGAAGAACAAAATCATATAAAAAAGGATCATCATGACCTAATTAATTATGATGCAAAGCAATTTGTGAGTGTAGAGCTGGAACAAATACGTTTCTATTCATTGGAAAAGATTTTGATGCTTTGCTTCTTTACATACCACACACAGTTGCTACATGGATAGGTCATATCAAAGCAAGAAAATGCAAAAGGAAAAATTTAAAATGAAAATTTGGTCAAAAGAAAAACAAAAGATGAAGAAGAATGAGGAGAAAGGGTGGTGTCTTGAGATGTGCCTTCCAATGGCCCACCGTCTTGTCCACACTGATGTAGCTTGTACAAAGTTATATGCTTGTTTAAATATATGAAAGTTTCATTCAATAGATTATCATCACACCACCACCACCGTTATTTGCGTTTATGTGAAGATATTCTTGGTAGTTCTTGGCCCAAAAAAAAAAAAATCTTCGAAGCTTATGCTCAGATTAATGATATCCTGAATTTTTTATCGAGTTCAGTGTCGCTTCGAAAGTTTTAGAATATAATAATATTGTGCCGTTAGCATTTTTACCGGTAAGGAGTACTATTGTTTTATCTAACACTTTTTTAAGGTAATATTCTAAATAAAAACTTTTAGAATAAATTTACATGTTAATCATATTATTATAATTATTATAATTATAATTATTATTATTATTTGGGTTCATGCATTTGATGAGACTTGATAAACAGACTAAATAATAGGGTAGCTCCTAACGTGGCTAACAGATTAAGGGACGGCCGATGTAAATATTTATGCAAATCTAAGTACTCCTCCGGTCCTTAATATAGGAATCCAATTAGTTAGTTTTGATCCTAAATATAAGACCCATTTATCATATTTATCAGTTATCTTTAATTACCCCTATGGATATTCTTTCAACCATAATCAAGTAGAAGAGAAAGATGAGGTATTAAGAAATATGATTATGGTATTTTAGGAAAAAACGTGTCATATTTCTTATAATTAACTAACTTACCTAACTTCCTTAATCTAATCAAATTAGTTAAATGGGTCTTATATTAAGGACCGGAGAGTATATAAAAGTCTTCTAAACTAAACCTACTTGACCAAACCAAACCAAACCAAAACACTGAAAATTTTATAACACTTGGTAGAAAAATCAAAATGAGACGGTTTCAAGCTCTATTTGAAGCTTGCAGTATGTTCTTTAAGAAAAAAAATACTCATTGGTATCATATCCTTATGAAACAGAGTCAGAAAATTTGCAAAATTGTACTGTTCATTTGGTTTTTTTTAATTTTTCAGTATTTTAATCCAATTTTGGAAGAGCATAACTCTTAGCACAAAACTCCAAATTTGATGATCTACTATTTGATTTAAAGATGAAAATAAGATCTATAAGTCTGTAAAATCTCAGGTCCAAACTCTTCCATTTGCTCATTATTTTGTGTTATAAAAATGTCCATTTTCAGGCCTTTTTTTCCCTTTAACTCTAATTTCTTGAATTTTCCTTCTTTTTTTTCATGCCACAACAAACCAACCATACCAAATCATATTCATAAGCATAAATACTACCTCATAATTACATGATCTCAAGTTTTCCTCATTCATTATTCATTACAAAATTCTATCAAAGTTCATCAATATACAATACAATACATTGTCATAAAGTCCATAAAATTTCATCATCCCAAAACTATCTCCTTGCCCTTGTTTATGAGCTTGTTTTCTTTTATGACATAATGCATGGCATAATGACTTGAGGATACCTTAAAGTATTGTACCATAATACTTTCTCTTTGTGAATCTGATCACAACTACTGATAGAAGAAGTGTCCCTTCATAAAACTCTAATCGACTTGTTACTTATGCCTCCATTTATAAAAACTCTGAAGCATTAATCGATGCCAACTATTGAGCTCAGGCTCAATTAGTCTCAGCCAACACAGCAATATTGTTGCTACTTATGAGAAGGGCCTTGAAATCAATGTTAATAGTGAACCACTTAAATATGGTATTGATGATAACTCCATTCGATACCACCTATTGGTAATCCTTTCAGAGATGCTTTCTCTAGACTCGAGATGTGGGCAAAGCTCATAGCTAATGATATGATAGGATGGGAACATATCAACTAGAAATAAGTAAAGAAGGGACATATGATTGAGGTAGGACCTTAAAAGAACCTATCTCTTATAACTCTAGCTTTACAACACCATAAGGTTGATCACTCCTTTGATATTGTTAGAGTATTCGCACAAGAATATAAGGATGCAAGCAAGGCTCATACAAAGAGAAATAAACTCAATTCTCATTCATTCAAGTCTGAAAATAAAGGTACAAAAATGTAGTCTATACATAGGCAATCATACAACACTTTAGAATCAGTATCTTAAGATATAAATACTAGGGATGATACTGTATTAATAATTATTTGACTACGGAAGGCACTATTTATACATAAAGAGAAAAGAAAATTACTTAAACTTTAAGGACAAGTCTACTATCTAAAAATCAGAAACTAAATCAAAACATAATCTTCTAAAACAATCATTGGTCAAAAAGTCTTATTCAAAGCAAATAAAAGGACAATTTTTAAAAAATGAAATTAAATTCATATTTAATGCATAATGATGCTTTCTCAATGCTTCTTGAAGGTTCTTGGATGTTATTTATGATCATCTTTCAAAGTATATGCTTGTCACATGGTATTTTAACTGAATTCTTCAATCTAGAATCCATATGGGCCTTGTACATCAACTTGGACTCTTCTTGTGCTCACTAATTCATGCCATGATGGTTTTGGGAGTGTCTTAGCATATACTATGTCTAACTTGACATATGTAATAATCCATATTATCATTCAAGCAATGATCTATGTCCTCTGCTACGTAAGCACTTTGAAGCTATCAATTCCTTGAAAACTTTGGAAGGCCAGTTAAGCCTCAACTGGATGGGATCAAGGTCCTTTCAGAATCCCTTTTTCTCCTTTTCTTCTTAAAATCTCATCTCCACTGTTAGATTATAAAATGGATGGTTAAGATTTAATATTTTAAAAAGTGGATGTTTATCTTCTCTCTCCTATTTATGTAATACTATAATAATAGTTTTATAAAGTGATGAACATCTATTTTGTCTTGTTATTTTGTATCTTTTTGGGGGGCTTTATCAACTAAAATAAGTTAATTTACAGTTATTATTACTATTTTTAGTTAACGAATAATTTAATTAAAATAGAGCAAAAAAAAGTATTTTTGTCATATATTTATATTTATTCTTAAATAATTATTTTGGGGCTTCATGATATTACATATTGTTAAATTATCTTGCAGGTTAATAAGGACAAATTGAAATTAGAGGCTAAAAAAAAAAAGTCAAAGAGTAGAGGACCAATGCACACCGTTTTGGGAGATTGCAATTTTGAGGTCATTGGATTGGTTTAGAAAAAGGGGGATTCCATTGTGCAGAAGAAGGGAGAGAGGGACGCTGCCACACAAGCCGTCTATTGGGACCTCTGAAGACTCTTCTTCCATCATAAAAGGAGGACGCCGCACACAAACCTCAGGGAACACCGTACATTCACAAGCTTTGATCCTCTCCATTCCACGTCCCTGAACCATCGACCATCACCGTTCATCTTCCTCATTGTCGGCGCTCCCTCTTCCTTCACCAGACTTCCTTCTTCCTCCTTCGTCCTGTTTAGATTTCCTTTGGCTTCATCGGTTTACTCTCACTGCTTCTTCATGGCTGCTGAATCTATGGAGCTCGTTGTGATCGGATTCAAAGCAATGAGTGGCTCAGTTTCACTGTGCTCTTTGGGATTGAATTTAATGACTTGAGCTTGGGAGCTACAAAGGGGAGTCTAATTCTAATCTTTAGTTTAAACTGTATATTGATATTTTTGGTTTAAAATTTGTTATGTGCAGTTTAAAACTTGGAATTGTTAGTTGTAATTCTTGGTTTGTATTAGAATTGTTGAGATTTGGATTGATAATTTTAAGTTTGAGTACTTGGGTTTATGAATATATATTTAATTATATGTTTATGCCTTTGTTGATTTATTGTTAGTATGATTTTTATGCTAGTTGTGTAGAGATTATGCTTGAAGTAAATTTAACAAATAATTGATGTTCTAGTTGAGCATTAATTTAAAAGGAATAACTTTTCTAAACCGATCCTTATCAATTGATTTACTCCCACATCATTAATCAAGCTAGGATAGTCATTGGTTCATTTTCAAAGAGCATCTCATCATTAAATTCCTTAAAATCCAAATTAATATTTTTACTTATCATTTTCTTAAAAAGCTGAAAAAATAGTAATTAGGATTTATCTAATTTGCATTGTTTACAAAGTAGTTTTATTAAATAAAATCAATTTTAAAACCCTCTCAATGTTTTTGGTACTTAGTTTAGCTTAGATTTTCAAATAAAAAGGCTCCGTGAGAGAGACGATCCGGATCGTGCACTATATTGCATTTACATTTGGTTTTATCTTGATTTAACCCTGAGGTGACTAAAGAGGTTTAAAATCAATGGCGCTGTTGCTAGGGAGTCAATTTATTTGACTCTCTAGTAAACTAAGTGTCAATTTTATATTGATTGGGTTAATCTTGCGTGTGCCACTTTTTGGTAGTTTTAGTGTTTGAGTTTGTCTAGTCTAATTTGCATTCACATTGCATTGAAAATTTTTGAAAAATCAAACAAATATCTTAATTTTATTTTGACTTTAGCATATTTGCTTACATATCTTTTGCATTGCATTTTGCATCTTTGCTTTGTGCTAGAATTTCTCAATTGACTTGCTGTCTCTAACTTGGTTGCTACTGCATTGGTGCTTTCTACTTGAAATTTTGGGCTTTTGATTTACCTCACCATTTCTCCAAGTTGCTTGTGAGTTATTATTGCATTTATAAGATTGAATTGGTTGGTTCTTGATTCTGGATAGTTTTGAATTGCAAAATTTTGAGTGTAAAGACAAGTTTTGGATTTTATTCATACTTGTGCATTCATAATTGATACTTTGAAATCTCTTTGAGTGTATAGACATATACTTTGCTAAAACTCATTGAGAAGTATTTGGTTCTTTGAGATTCACTTAATTTTGGTCTCACACTTGTGAATTTTTGATTTTCTGGGTCTTGCTTTTGCACTTTGTTGCTCTGAATTTCTCTGTTGCATGCCCAGAGATAAAGAAACCTTACCCTACGATCCTGAACTTGAGATAACATTGAGACAATTAAAGAAGAAAAAGAAAAAGGGTCAAAAGAGTACAAGTGAATTTGCCTTAGAACACCATACTCCTAGTGCACCTAACCAAAATCTAGACATGGCTAATCCTACTGGTAATGGTGGTAATAATGGTGAAAATGATGGAAACAAAAA